ATACTGAAATCGCTGTGAAATTTCATTTATGAAACAATAACCGAAGAAGTATAGAAACTAAATCCATTTAGAATCGATGAGTTAATACTAACAAATGCAGTTTCATCGATGAATGTCATCGGTTGCTATCACTGTCGATCATGATAAATCAAACGGAGTATTGTTCTCATTTGTGCTTTGGCGTCAGTGCAGGTGCATGAGAGGGTTTCTTCTTGTGCTTGTGCTTCAAATCTTGGTCGATTCCTTCCCCAAAAGTCTCTGAGTATTGTTCCTATTTGTGCTCTGGCGCCGGTGTAGGTGCATGAGAAGTCTTTTTCTTGTGCTTGTGCTCTGGCGCTGGTGCAGGTGCATGACAAGGCTTCTTCTTGTGCTTGTGCTCTGGGGCCGGTACAGGTGCAGGTGCATGTGAGTGCTTGTTCTTGTGCTTCAATTCTTGGTCTATCCCTTCCTCAAAACTCCCCAAGTATAGTTCCCATTTGTGCTTCGGCGCTGGTGCAGGTGCATCATGAGTAGGCTTCTTCTTGTGCTTATGCTTCAATTCTTGGTCGATCCCTTCACCATAAATTTCCGAGTATTGGTCCCATTTGTGCTTTGGCACCGGTGCAGGTGCAGGTGCATGATCAGGCTTCTTCTTGTGCTTATGCTTGTGATTCAATTCTTGGTCGATTCCTTCCCCAAAAGTTTCCAAGTATTCTTCCCATCGCTCTTGGGCAGGCGCTGGTGCTTGTGAATGTAGATGAGATGGCTTGTGTTTAGCAATGGATGAAATTGGCAAAGCCACCACCGCTACGAAGAGAACCAACAAGTATGTATTAGACATGGCTTTTAGAATTGAAAATTGTTTGCTGGTGTAAAACGCTTGTAGAGAAGTCCAGTGTTTATAGGAGAACTGTACCATTCATTTTGCAACAGGTGTTTATTTATACTAAAGGGCTTTTTACTGTGTCTCATCCTCCTACATGTTAGCTGTCCATTTTAAACATGCTGGTTTTTGACAGTAATTAATCAATTTAATGAGTTCCTCGATGGATATTAGTTGTCAACTTAAATAATAATCTCCTCACCTACATTTGATACAACTTAGAATTCTTCATAATAAGAATCCCTTGGGATAAGTTCACATTTATGTTGCAAAAGAAGTGCATTTATCTCCTTCGTCATAGCGATTAAAAGCGTCTTTGGAACATTAGATGTTAGTCCATTTGTATGTTGAACATGTTGATAATAAAAAACCTTAATTCTATTCCATCTAGAGCAATTAATTAAAAGAAATAAACAAAGACGTGCACGATTTATAGAGGTTTATCTCAACGTGCAACTGTATTCTCTTCCACCGTTACATAATTTACAAGAGTTATATGACGTCTCCATATTTATAAGACAAATTAGGATAAAATCAAAATTTATAAGAACACAAATTCATACTATGAAATTTACTAGGACATAAATTCCTAAATTATTCTTTATAAATTTTTGTCGACTAAAAAGTCTTAATTCATGTCACTAAAAGTCTAGTCGGAGAGAATAGTGCCCATAAAAGTCGAAGAAGAAAATTTAGGTCAAGTTCATAACTCGATCCAACTCCCAAGTTGTGGAGCTTAGTCCAACCAAGAACGAAACCAACTTAGTAGTGACCAAGGTCGACTAATCTATTTCAATTTGTGCAATTGTACAGGCGATCAGCTCGAGAATATGGCTAACTCTGTTCCTAGCGGCAGATTAGTTGGATGCGTGGGAATTTTCGAAGTTGGTCACCATGAACCATATTTCTACTTTTACGTTAAATCATGCTTGTCTCTTCTACAAAGTTCATTTATGATTTTGTGAAGTTGCCACTGGACTTTGTTTGGTGTCCGAAAGTTGTTGCACGAGTTTCCTTTTTGCACATTGAAATTTCCAATTTGGCTCGTATTTATAAATGGTTTACGAACGCTAAACTCACTTTTTTTCTATACATTTTCAAGAATCTACAAGTAATAATAATTTATTTATCATTAATTACTATCTATTTATAATTAAAACTACTTATAAACACTTCTTTACCATGACAAAGACAAAAATGCCCCATAACATGAGCATATCATGGGCTCTGTTGGCCCATTTAGAAGAACAATCGCCTTCAACAACAACCTTATCCAATTTAAATGAGTAGTGAATTTTCTATTGGATTACTAAGTGCGTGTTCGATAGAGATTAAAATTCAATTAAAATTGAAAATATAGTCGTTATTGGGTCTCACTCGTCTAATAAAAATCAACAATAACGGCTAGTTTTTCAATTTTAATTCGATTTTAATCTCTACCAAACACACTCTAAATTGTAATTTATCTCCATTGGATTTGAAATTTAATTTAATTTTAAATTTCATTATTCTATTATATTTTATCATTTATTGCCTCAAATTGACAGAAATTAATTAATTGACAATCATGCCATAGCATAGTTGTTGTGTAATGTTTTTAGATTAAAAGGTATATATATATATAGAAATGATCTAATGAGCACCGGTGCTCATCTTATCCTAAGCACCAATGAGTTGGCACATTAATTCATTGGTGGATTGGAACTCACAAAATCTTTATCCACCAATGAATTAATGTGCCAACTCATCGGTGCTTAGGATAAGATGAGCACCGGTGCTCATTAGATCATTTCTGTATATATATATA